CTTCAGCGAGGTAGTGGTGGGGCTGGAAGGGGGAAAAGCAGCCGGCGTCACAGGTGCAAGTAGACCCCAGGTGCAGGACGCTCCAGCTGAAAAGTCACAGCATGTGATAATTGCCGGGGAATCGAATTTAAACCGATGCACAGAAGCCATCAAAGAGAGGGTAAGAGGTGACAAGAGGGTTGCAGTAGGGGCGTTCCCAGGACGCAAGCTTGAAGCAGTCATGAGGCAAGCGAGCGCAAAACTCAAAACTACAGCTGATAGACGAAACCTCGTGATAATTTCAGGCGGTTTAAACGATGTCTTAAATGAAGATACAGCAGGGCTAGCAGCCACACTGGCGAAAAGCGTCGATGACATGCGTGCCACTTCTCCTAAGGTACAGGTAGTGATATGCACGATACCAGAGGTACCGGTGCGCGATAGCAACCTGCAAAGAGCGGTTGTCAACGCAAACCAAGAGATATGGCGGATGAGTCGAGAGAAAGGCTTTGAGGTGGTGGAAATAAACAGAGAGGTGCATAGGTGGGGTGGTTTTCAACGAGACAGAATTCACTTCGATGGGCGACTAGGTCACGAGGTGGGTTGGCGACTTGCAGGACGCGCAGTAGCTTTTTTGGGGGGCAAGCGAGCCCTTCGGGGTGCAGGATAGCTAGTAACGAGGAAAACAACCAGGGAGACTCTTCGACAGGTGTTATGGACAGATACGATTCCAAAGTGGCACCAATGTCTAAGATAGGTAGAGTCCGGGGCATAAATAGACGTAGCCACGAGCGCCGAGCCCATTCAGACATAGGGTATATTAACATGCAGGGTGGTAGGAACAGGCTGAAGTGGGAAGAGATAGAAGAACAGCTAAGGGAAGAGAGGCCGATGGTATACGGTTTTGTAGAAACACATCTCAGGGACATGGAACAACCTCCGAACAATCCGGACTACGCGTGGGAATATTGTAACAGAACAGAAAGCAGCAGAAAGGGGGGTGGTATTGGGGCATTCATTCATAAAAGTACAGACTGGCAAAGGGTCAAGCAGGAGTGCAAGGAACATTTATGGCTAAAAGGGAAAGTGGCAGGTCAAATGACACTCCTTGGTTTCGTGTACTTGTGGACGGGAGCAAAGGCCAGAGAGGAAAACCAGGCAATGGTAGAGTGTATATTAAAGGACATTCAGGAGTTAGGAAGAGAGTGCGAGATAATTATACTAGGAGATATGAATGCGCACATAGAAGATATAGATAGGTATACCGACTCGACAGGCAAAATGATCATGGATATGTGTGAAAGGCTTGATTTGATCATTTGCAACAGTACCGAGAAGTGTGAAGGGCAAATAACATCCATGGGAGGTAGGAAGGCTGCAGTCGACGATAGATTATGCACTGATGTCACATAGGATGTATGATAAGCTCAGGGGAATGCACATAGATGAAGGTGGCTCCAGAAGTCTGGGTAGTGATCACAAACGTATCAAGCTAAGTTTTGGAAGAGCAGTGAATGTGGGAAGGAGACAAGATGAGCAACTACAGGAAAATTTTTATTCAGAAAGGCAAATTGAAATAGTCACTAAACAAATTGAGAAAGTAATCACGGAGGATAATAAGACAGTGTGGACATACATGAATCTAATTAGACTCTTTGAGCTAGAGCTTGCTAAGACGCGTAACAAGTCACCCCGGAAAAGAAGACACAAACCCAAAAGTTGGTGGGATGAGGAAGTTAAGAGAGCCATAGCAAAACGTCAGGAAGCCTCTAGGGAACACAGACATGCTAAGCAGCGGGGTGAACCGACAGATGATGTTGAAAGAAAATGGCAAACCTTTCTAAGCTGTAGAAGGGCTGCATCTCTTCTGATCAATGAAAAGATTAGAAGAAAGGGAGCTCAGTGGCTGGCAGAAGTACATAAAAAAGATAGAAAGGCAGCTGCGAAATTTTGGAACCATCTAAACTCCCTAAGAAATGAGACGAGCCTAGAGCAGAGTTTTATAACTACAGCCCAAGGTGCCAGGCTAGAAGGGGACGAAGCTATTGAATATATAAGAGCAAGGGTGACAGAAAAATTTCAACAAAGAAGTACTTTATGCACCACAATAGACAAGGACGAATCAAGTGGTGCAATGGCTCCATTTTCACAACGAGAGTGGGAAAGGGCTGAGAAAAGGGTTCCTAGTAGTACATCAAGAGGCCCAGATGGCATTCCAATTAGGCTGATAAAGACATTAGGTCCGAAGTCTAAGTAGGCTTTGAGAGAGGCAGTGAGCAAAATGATAATCGATGGTGAAGTTCCCGATGGATGGAAACTTAGCAGGATGAGCATGATCTATAAGAAGGGGGACAAAGCTGACATAAACAACTACCGTCCTATAACAGTGACATCAGTGGTCTACAGGCTGGCGATGCAGATTATAAAGGAAAGACTGCAGGCATGGATAGAAGATGAGGGGGTGCTGGGGGAACTGCAGAATGGGTTTCGGAAACACAGGAGGTTGGAAGACAATCTGTTCTCACTGACGCAGTGCATCGAAATAGCAGAAAAGGAACACAGGCCCCTGTGGCTAGTATTCTTGGATATCAAGGGAGCGTACGATAGCGTGGTTCAAGAGGAATTGTGGGGAATACTGGACACACTAGGCGTGGAACATGTAGTCACTAATCTTTTAAAGGGTATCTATAAAGGTAACAAGGTAGTTATAAAGTGGGAAAAACAGGTATCCAAGCCTGCAGAGGTAAAATGGGGGCTTAGGCAGGGGTGCCCCCTGTCACGCTTATTATTCATGATGTACCTACAAGGATTAGAGGCAAAATTAGAGAGAAGTGGGCTGGGCTTCAACCTCTTTTAGTCAAACAAGGAAAGCTTATTGATCAGGCACTACCAGCATTAATGTACGCAGATGATATAGTGCTAATGGCCAACAACAAGGAAGATTTGCAGAGATTGATGGACATCTGTGGTAATGAGGGCGATAGGTTAGATTTTAGATTCAGTAAGGAAAAATCAGCAGTCATGAATTTCAATGACAACGAAGGTAGTGAGCTTAGGATACAGGACGTCACGCTAGAGATAACAGATAAATACAAATATCTGGGCGTATGGATAAGCAATGGGACCGAGTACCTGAGGGAACACGAAATATACGTGACGACTAAACGTAACAGGAATGCAGCAGTGATGAAAAATAGGGCACTGTGGAATTAAAATAGGTATGATGTTGTGAGAGGAATATGGAAAGGGGTCATGGTTCCTGGGCTGACGTTCGGCAATGCGGTCTTGTGCATGAGATCAGAAGTTCAAGCAAGATTAGAAATTAAGCAACGTGGAATAGGTAGGCTTGCTTTAGGAGCTCACGGGAATACACCAAATCAGGAAGTACAAGGTGATATGGGATGGACATCATTTGAGGGCAGGGAAGCTAGCAGCAAGATAAAATTTGAGAAGCGATTGAGAGAAATGAAGGAGGAGCGTTGGGCTAGGAAGGTTTTCAGCTACTTGTACATGAAGAATGTCGATACAAAATGGAGGAAGCGAACCAGGAAGTTGACTGGTAAATACTTAGAAAACAGCAGGTGGCCAAACCAAAAAGAACTATCGGTTAAGAAGAAAGTGAAGAAAACGGAGACTGACATGTGGAAAATGGGCATGATTAAGAAGTTCGCACTAGAGATCTATCGAACTTTTAAGCAGGAAATTGCCAAGGAAAGGATCTATGATAATACTCGGGGTAGTTCTCTACTGTTTGAGGCAAGGACGGGAGTACTGCGAACCAAGACATATCGGGCCAAATACGAAGGGGTAGACACAGTATGCAGTGCGTGTGGAGAGTAAGAAGAAACTGCCGAACACTTGATAATGTTCTGTAAAGGGCTTCACCCTATAGTTCAGGATGATGGCCCAGAGTTTTTCAAAGCACTGGGGTTTAGAGACCGGGAGGGCAAAATAGACTTTAAGCAAGTAGACTTAACTAGAAGGAGGTTATCTGATTGGTGGCTAAAGTCAAGGCACGAGTGAAAATTAAACTCTTCACTGCAAAGTACGAATCCTCAAACTCACTTTTTAAGGAAAAAATAAATAAATATAGTTTTGAGTTCATCAAGTGTTACGGCTTGGTGGCGCTAGCCACCGCCCGATCTAAAGGGTACAGCCATATCCATCCATCCATCCATCCATCCATCCATCCATCCATCCATCCATCCATCCATCCATCCATCCATCCATCCATCCATCCATCCATCCATCCATCCATCGATCCATCCATCCATCGATCCATCCATCCTGAAAAACTTCTCTTGGTTCGTGTTGGCCGTGTTGGCGGACGGGGCTGGTTCGCTCAGTTCAGTTCGATCGGTTCGATTGGATCAACGTGGGTACCCCGTGTGCGTGTTCTGTGCTTTATGCTTGGATCATTGTGTAGTATGTGTTCGTGAAGATGCCTAACCGCCGTCGAAATTACTGTTTTGCGCCCGGTTGTCGAACTGGGTACAGTCGTGTGCAGGATGCACCACAGGCGTCTTTGTTCAGCGTCCCGCGTGATGAAGAACGGCGGAAGGAGTGGGAAAGAAATCTCCACCGTGCAGATAAGAAACTGGATGAGTTTTCTGTGGTCTGCGAACTGCATTTCGAACCGAGGTTCGTTATCAAGGAGTTCGTGCACCATATAGATGGCAAAGAGGTACGCATTCCTCGTGATAAACCGATGCTGTCGGAAAACGCCGTCCCCCCGATTCTTCCAAATTTGCCGCAGTACCTCACGAAGAAGATGCCAAAACCGAGAGCTAAAAGGAAGATGTGCGAAAATGACCATGCAACCGCAAAGAAAAAGAGCCGAAGTGCTCTCGAGACTGACTGCACTGAATTTCTACGGGCTGCTGTTGGTGATTCAGGGGAGGACTGCGACTTGACACACGATGACGTTCCAGTGGAGCCCGAATTGCTTGTCGTTTTGTTATTGTTTAAAGACTCCTTTCAAGTACTGGAGTATGCATCACCATCCTGACCTTAACGGAGTGATGTATTGCTCGTCGACTTGCCTTGAAGAAGGCGTTATCACGCCCGAAAAAGTTGTGTTGTTCCTCCGCGATAAACCGCCCGATGGCTACTGCAAGGTGTTTTTGAGGAGGCGGCTGATTGAGGAGCGCATCATTAAATGTCAGGAAGAAGCGGAAAGCGTGCTGGAAAGCGTGGAAGCTACCGAACTCTGTATAGGTGCTCTGAATGCCAAAGATTATGACACCTGCTTTTTAACAGCAGCACTCCAGAAGCAGCTCAAAATCAAGCATGCGACGTATTTCAGCATCAACGGCAGCGGCAAAGTTACAACCAAAGGTGGGTAACGAGTCACCCGATTTTCACTTGACTGAAGTAGTGCAGTTCTTTGTTACATAATTTATTACTTGCTGGCGCATTCTGGCGCCTATAAGTACTGGCAGTGCTTTCTTGTTCACGTCCCAGTCAGAATTTGCTACAATTTCCGCACATTTCTATTTTCAGGTGGACAGTGCATGAGCTGCAAATACTTCAGGAAGGCTCTCTTGACTAGGAGGTCAAGAGTACAACGAACACCTTCCAGGGCTTCCAAAAGTGTTGCCCAAAGGCTGAGGTTTCTTGCACGTAAAAACAAGCGCTTCGCTTCACGGATTTCCACAATGAGGGAAGATGTTGAAAAGATGCGGGCATCCAATGCAGCAGTAGCCGAAGAGACTCTAAGTGAGCAGATTTCGAAGCTTCCCCAGAAGCAACAAGAATGTGTCAGACAATGCTTTGCCGCAGCAGCAGCAAAAAAGAAAGGTTTCCGCTATAGCAAGCTGTGGATCCTGGAATGCATCATAATGAAAATGAAGAGTTCCCGCCTTTATGACCACATCAGAGACAATGAGATACTCTCCCTTCCGAGCAAATCAACACTGAAACGATATATGGCTCTGTACAAATCAGCATTTGGCTTTAGCAAAAAAGTGTTGGAAGAATTGAAGAACAAGACGCAAGACATGGACCCATTCAAAAAGCACGGCGGACTTCTTGTAGATGAGCTCAAGCTTGCAGAGCATATATCTGTGAAGAAGTCAGGTCAAATCGAAGGGTTTGTAGATTTAAGACCGTTCACTTCTGCAGCAGACAGGACCACGCATTCGGATCACGGCATGGTGATTCTATTTGTTCCGTTCGTCGGTGGATGGACGCAAGTGATCGGGACATTTGCAACCAGAGGCAACATCAAAGGCGATTTGCTAACTCAAATTATGGTAGAGGCCACAGTGCTTACTGAGAAGAGCGAGCTTTTTGTTGACATTATAACGTGTGACGGCGCCACTTGGAACCGTCGGATGTGGACATTGCTCGGTGTAAAGGGAACGCGTGGCAGCGTGAAGTGCAAAGTGAAACATCCAGTTGATGAAAGCCGTTATTTGCACTTTGTATCGGACTTTCCCCACCTCATAAAGTGCTTGCGGAACGGACTTTTGAAGTGCTCATTTAACACAGCAGACGGGGACGTAAGTCATTTTCTTTTGCCATTTATGAAAAAGGGCACATGTTTACGAAATTCGACATCTTTCAAACCACCTGGTGAAAGAAAAAGTGCTGTTTGCTTTGTTTCCCAGCTTTACTAAGCATTTTTTTCCTCAGGTGTCGTGGCATGTCAAGAAAGCCTACGATCTTGACTTCAAGAGCCTTACGTTAAAGGCAATGCCAGGAATAATCAAGTGCCACGTGCAGCCAACTTCATTCGAGCAGCAGAGAGAGAGAGAAACAACATTTTTCGCGCATCCGCCGTGCGGGAAGTCACCGGCCGCGCAGGGCGCGGGTATTCCCTATCTTAAGACTATGGCTAATAGTCCTATAGTCCCAGGCCCTAGATCTTGAGGACGTTGGGCTCTGGCTAGGCGTTGGATACTCGGGCTCCTCCACTCCCGTTGTCTGGGGCGTCGGTTCCCTTTCTCGTCTGCTTTGCCAGGGCCTCCTCCAACCGCTGGATGGCCCTTCGTTGTGTGGTTGGGTCTTGGGAGCGTATCCATGCTCCCACCTCTTCGGGATACGTGGCTTCCTGGCACTGCCCATTCCCATTGTTCACACCACTGTTACACCCGCCCCACATGATGTGGCGGAGGGTGGCTAGTTCACGTTCGCACACGCTACACTTAGCGTCCACAAACATGTCGGGGCATACGTGCCGGGCCAATGCTGGCGTTAGCACGCATTCCGTTTGCAGTTGTCGGAGCTTCACCGCTTCCGCACGTGACAGTTTACGATGCGGGGGCGGAAAGGCTCTCCTGGCCTCTCTGTAGGCTGCCAGGATCCCTCCGTAGTCGGTGAGGGGATCGAGGTGTTCTCGTTCTTCACCGCTGGTTTCAGGAAGACGGGCTGCCGTGGTCCGGCACGTGATGAGATCACGGGCCACAGCGTCCGCCTCCTCGTTGCAGTTCTCAATGTCGATAGCCAGTTGTCCCATGTGGGCTGGGAAGCATTTGAGGGCGATGGTTGGCCCTGTAGCGGCGCCGCGAGCAGCCCGCGAAGCCGCGATGGACGTCATTAGCCGCTCCGTGTCCCGCCAGACCATGCCTCGGGCAAAATTCCCGATTGCCTGCTTTGAGTCGCTTAGCACCGTGCGCGTGCCCGGCCTACCTGTGGCCAGGGCTATCGCCGCCTCCTATGCCTGGCCGGCTGTTCAGGCGCGCATGGTGCTTGCTGTCAGTAGTTTACCAGTAGTAGCGCTGACCACCACTGTTGCGAAGCGTCTTCCCGGATATCTTGCGGCGTCCACGTAGACTGCGCCCTCGTCTCCCTGATGTTGACGGGCCAGCGCCGCTGCTCTCGCCGCTCGCCAGCCCGCATCCCTTTCTGGGTCCATGTTCTTTGGCAGCGGGTAGACAATGATCTTCCTCGCTGCCTCATCGCTCAGGGGGACTTGTTCTTCTAGCTCCCCGTCCGGTCCTGCTCCCGGGCGTTCTCCAGGAGGTAATAATCCCACCCGATCGAGTAATCCTCTGCCCGCGGCTGTGTCGCTCAGGCGGCTCAGCTGCGAGCAGCATAGAGTTTCCTACGCATTCCAACTCTTTGGGGAGAGAGTTCTTCAAGGGCTCCACCTTTACAAGGATGAAATTGAGGCGAAGACAGGACCCATAAATGGCACACAGGAGTTTTTCAAGTAAGAATGTTGGAGATGTTATTTGGATGTGAGGAAGTTAGTATGCATGCTTATTCATAGATAGTTCCTTAGTCATAGGACCTTCACGTATTGTACAGAAGTGCCACTACATAGATTAGAACTAAACCAACAAAGACAGTACAAAGTGCAAAGTTAAGGTGCGGCTGCTATGCAAGCCATAATATAACATGTATACGAAGGAACTTAAACTCATAATGATTCGAATTTTTTTTTGACAGGAGGATCAACCGCCTGATCACCATTATGACGTCTCGGCACCCAAGAGAAGCCCTGAAACCCAACTCCTCTTCAGCAACAGCTCTTTCGGATTTTCTGGAGTACCTGGATTCTTGGGAGCAGCACACAGAAAAAAAAGGGGGTTCTTGAGCCAGTCAACTGCGATTGGCCTGCGTGTCACGATATCAAGCACTCTTGAGCTTCTTTCCTACCTTGCAAGTTTAGGTTAGTCGTACCTTATGACATCCAGACTTTGTCAGGACCCCCTTGAGAATATGTTTGGGATAGTCAGGCAAGCCTCTGGCTGTAACGATCATCCGACAGCCACTCAGTTTTTCTCATAACCATGAACTGCATATCTTTCTACAGTTTAGTGAAAACCGTTAGATACGGTAATGCAGATCCATGTGCACTAAGTGCCTTGCTAGACACACAGCAGAGTCGCACAAGTTGCCCTCCCAGCAACAATTTGTGGGAACAGGTAGATGTTTTGATGGCTTTGGGGAATTTACCTGAAGCCGAAGTGGTGTTGTCTTCGATGGAGCATGACGAGCACATACAGAGGAGCGACTCTCGCCTAATTTACTATGTGGCAGGATACGTTGCAGGAAAGTGCGTAATGAAAACTAACTGCCAAGACTGCATGGATGCTCTCACCGGGCCATCTGAAGATGAGAATCCTGGGCTTGCTGCGCTGACGCTGCACAAGGACCGAGGTGGACTTTTCTATCCACGCGGCACACTCTTTTCGTTTGTAAAAACGCTTGAAGACATGTTTACAGAACACTTCAGCAAGAAAGAACTGCATGCTGATAGCATATTGGATGTGCTGAGTCTGGTGAAGGCAAAGTGCACACGCCAAATAGGCTGCAGTGAGTATTCAGCTCGGCTCACCAAGGATGTAATCAGCTTTTACATCACAACACGACTTCATTTCTTTGCAAAGGGCATTAATTCTGAGAAATTGGATAAGAGGAAGAGCGTGACACACCGGAAGATTGCGAAAACTTAATGAGGCAAACCTGCATGGTGCATGTTCACTGGTGCATATCAATGTGTAAATGTCTCGATTTGCCATTATTCAGCCATTTTTTTGCAAACCTGCATGGTGCATGTTCAATGGTGCATATCAATGTGTAAATGTCTCGATTTGCCATTATTCAGCCTTTTTTTTACCCTAATATTTCTTGTGCAAATTATTTCATCACTTATTTGTAAATAAACATTATTTCATCAATTTACATGGATTTTTATCATTTATTTTTTATTTGATACGTCATTAACTTGATGGATACACGAAATATGAAAATTCAGAGGCAATGAATGGAATGGACTCTGGCAAAGAAGCACAGGAGCGGGTGTAAATCAATGAAAGAGGTCTCCGTCCTGCAGGACCTAACAGGCTGTTGATGATAATGATGCTACGTCTTGTTTACAGCAAGAATCACGCCACACACCAATCATCACCTAAAGTCTCGAAGCAGCGATGCTAGAATGTTAAACGTCGTGCGTGGTTGTCATGGTGGTTAAAGTTTGGGTTTAGGGTGCGCATTCCTGCAGCAGGCACGTAATCAAGAAAAACCCGGCGTGGAGGCTATCTAAGGCGTTGTACTGTTGAACCCAAGGACGTGTGTTCGATCCTAGCCGCGGTGGCTGTTCTCCTGACGGAGGAGAAAAACGAAACAAGCCGTGTGCCGGCATTTCGGCTGACGTTAAAAATTCTAAAGGGATCTAAATTAACCTGCAGCCCTCCGCTATGGCGCACCTCATAGCGGAAGTGTGGCTTCGGCCCGTTAAACTCCAAAATTTTAATTCTGACATTGCGAAAAAAAAAGTGCGTAGTGTTTTTCGCACCTCGGAACCGCAGTCGACATGACCGCTGCATTAGCGAAACCATTTTGAACATTTAAACGGCAGGAAAATAATACGATGTCAGTTGCTTCACGCCCTGCACACTGATAAGATACCCCAAAAGAAGTGTCGTGCATTGCATGTCGCGAACGTTGCATAATTTCTGGCATTTCAACAATTGCGCTGTGGCTCTCTACTTCGGCGCGCAAAGGAGTTTTAGGTGACACTGTGAACCGCGCCGCCTCTCGGCGTCGACACGAAGTGAGTCACCCACCGCCGCCTGTGAGCACACTGCCCCTTTTCTAGTACACTGTAGTTGCGACCGTGTTTGCATCCCATCGCCGGCCGCCGTTCTTGTGTGGTGTTACGTCTGTTCTTTGGGTGCATCAATGTGAGTAAAAGTAGCCGGTCCGAATGAATAATGGATCCATACCTATCCGTCCTCCTACAAACAATACCGGATATGACAATAACAAAAGAAGAGGCCCTACGAATCTTGGAACTTGATGGCACGAGTGAGTTGCACTTTTGAAGCACCTATAGATAGGCCTCTTAATTTTTTATCTGTACTCGTGTTATGGTGATGACCACATGTGACAACCGAAATGCGTTGAACTGTTCCTTGTGAGCGTCGTAAAGACGAATATTGGTCTAATGCATAGTTCTGCTTCTAAGCATATTGACCGTCCCGCTGCACGACGGTCTTGAGCTGTCAGGTCGTGGTGTACGTTCGAGCACATTTTGTGCGTCGCGGTGTGTTAAACTTGAGGTCTATTCGATTAGAAGAAAGTGCACGGCGCCTCGTACAAAAAGGTGCCGACACCTGGAGCAGCAAGTGTAGCTAGGTGTCTCGGCGCCATTTTGGGGTGCAAATGAACGGATTGATGTGGCATACCCTTTAGATGGATGAATTGATATGGATGTACCCTTTATATCGGGCGGTGGCTAACCACATCTAGCCGTAATACTTAGTGAACCAAACATTAGATTGATCTTTTTTCCCCCTTTAAATAGTGAAGTTGAGGACTGGTACTTTGCAATGAAGGGTTTAATTTTCACTCGCGCCTTGTCTTTAGCCACCAATCAGATAACCTCCTTCTAATTAATTCTACCCGATTAGTCTATTTTGCCCTCGCTGTCCCTAAATCCCAGTGCTTTGAAGAACTCTGCGTCATCATCCTGAACTAGCCCTTTACAGAACATGATACATCAAATGTTCGACAGTTTCCTCCTCCTCTCCACATGCACTGCATACCGTGTCTATCCCTTCGTATTTGGCCCTATATGTCTTGGTTCGCAATACTCCCGTCTTGGCCTCAAACAGTCGAATTACACCGAGTATTATCATAGGTTCTTTCCTTGGCAATTTCCTGCTTAAAAGTTCGATAGATGTCTAGTGCGGACTTCTTAATCATGCTGCTTCTCTACATATTGGTCTCCGTTTCCTTCACCTTCTTCTTAACCGATAATTCTTTATGGTTTGGCCCCTGCTCTTTTCCAAGTATTTGCTCCTCAATTTTCTAGTTCACTTCCTCTATTTTGTATCGACACTCTTCATGTACAAGTAGCTGAAAACCTTCCTAGCCCAACACACCTCCCCCATTTCTCTCAATCGCTTCTCAAATTGTATCTTGCTGCTAGCTTCCCTGCCCTTTAAGAGATTAGTGACTCCATCTTCCACACCTAGTGTGTCGGGTGGCGGCTAACGCTACCTAGCCGTAGTACTTAGTCAACCAACAACTAGATTTATCTTTTTTCCCTTTAAATATTGAGGTTGAGGACTGGTACTTTGCAGTGAAGGATTTAATTTTCACTCGTGCCTTGATTCTGTTAGACGTTGCATAAGCTGTTGCCAGACTGCTGCCACATTTGGCACATATTTTTGTCCCTGTAGTAGTGACTTTTTCGGGAGGGTTTTGTGTCATCCGCGATGCATTTCTCGAGTGCATGGTTAACGTTGGCCGTTTTAATTAACGCAATGAACCACGTGTTGCAGAAGTCGGGGCGCATTCTCGTGGTGTGTGCGCAGCTATGCAATCAAGAGATCGTGTCTCGATCAGTATTAGAGACGATGCGTATGAATGCGGGAAGGGAATTTGTGAGTCGCCGGAGCATGGAATATCTCCGTAGTTGTGCGTACCTTGTCGACTGCGCACAACGACGCGTTTTCTGGGGAAACTGAATAGAGTCCGAATGATATGTCTTGTGCTGACACAGCTAGGGGAAGTGTAGCATCGTCGCTGCGCGTGGTTGACGCAGCAGGATCAACTGTGCAGAGAGCCTATTTCAGAGATATGATCGTTGGACACGAGCAGAAAAGGGAAGCGCACCACCTGCTGCGACTCTATTCAGTTTCCCCAGAAGATGCGTCGTTGTGCGCATTCGCCTAGTTATGCACCGCTACGGACGTATTTTGTGCTTTGGCGACACGAGTGTGATGTATACTGAAGCGCGGCTCACAAATTCGCTTCCCCTTAAGCATTCATACGCGTCGTCCCTAATACTGAGACACGATCTCCTATTTGCACAGCTGCACACACAGCAAGAGAACGCGCCCCGAATTCTGCAACACGCGATTCATTCCATTAATTAATACGGCCAACGTCGCATTCGCGAAATGCACGGCAGGCGACATGCACCACGGACGACATAAAGCTTTCACGGGGAAGTCGCAACTACAGGGGCAAATTTCTCTGCAAAATCTGGTGGCAGTCTGGCAACTGAGATATGCAACGCCAAACAGAACCTTGCCGATTTCGGCCACCAATCAGATCTAACGTCCTTGTTCTACCCGCTTAAAGTCTATTTTGCTCTCGCTTTCCCTAAACCCCAGTGCTTTGAAAAACTCTGCGCCATCATCCTGAACTATAGGGTGAAGCCCTTTACATAACATTATCAGGTGTTCGGTAGTTTTCTCCTCTCCACACGCACTGCATACCGTGTAGACCCCTTCATTTTTGGCCCGATAAGTCTTGGTTCACAATACTCCCGTCTTGGCCTCAAACAGTAGAGATCTACCCAGAGTATTATCATAGATCCTTTCCTTGGTGATTTCCTGCTTAAAAGTTCGATAGATCTCTAGTGCTGACTTCTTAATCATGCCAATTCTCCACATATCAGTATCCACTTCTTTCACCTTGTTCTTAACCGACAGTTCTTTTTGGTTTGGCCCCCTGCTTTTTTCTAAGTACTTACCCGTCAATTTTCTGGTTTGCTTCCTCCATTTTTATCGACATTCCTCATGTACAAGTAGTTGAAAACCGTTCTAGCCCAATGCTCCTCTCCCATTTCTCTCAATCACTTCTCAAATTTTATCTTGCTGCTAGCTTCCCTGCCCTCAAATAATGTCCATCCCATATCACCTTGTACGGACTCTTATTTGGTGTATTCCCGTGAGCTCCTAAAGGAAGCTTACCCTATTCCATGTTGCTTAATTTCTAATCTTGCTTGAACTTCTGATCTCATGCACAAGACCGCATTGTTGAACGTCAGCCCAGGAACCATTACCCCTTTCCATATTCCTCTCACAACATCATACCTATTGTAATTCCACAGTGCCCTATTTTTCATCACTGCTGCATTCCTGTTACCTTTAGTCGTCACGTATATTTCGTGTTCCCTCAGGTACTCGGTCCCATTGCTTATCCATACGTCCAGATATTTGTATTTATCTGTTATTTCTAGCGTGACCTCCTGTATCCTAAGCTCACCACCTTCATTATCATTAAAAATCATGACTGCGGAATTTTCCTTACTGAATCTGAAATCTAACCTATCTCCTTCATTACCGCAGATGTCCATCAATCTCTGCAAATCTTCCTTGTTGTCGGCCATTAGCACTATATCATCTGTGTACATCAATGCTGGTAGTACCTGTTCAATGAGTTTTCCTTGTTTGACAAAAGAGACGTTGAAGCCAAGTCCACTCTCCTCTAATTTTGCCTCTAATCCTTGTAGGTACATCATGAATAACAAGGGTGACATGGGGCACCCCTGCCTAAGCCCACGTTTTACCTCTGCAGGCTTGGATACCTGTTTTTCCCACTTTATAACTACCTTGTTACCTTTATAGATACTCTTTAAAAGATTAGTGACTACATGTTCCATGCCTAGTGTGTCCAGTATTCCCCACAATTCCTCTTGAACCACGCTATCGTACGCTCCCTTGATATCCGAAAATGCTAGCCACAGGGGCCTGTGTTCCTTTTCTGCTATTTCGATGCACTGCACCAGTGAGAACAGATTATCTTCCAACCTCCTGTGTTTCCGAAACCCATTCTGCAGTTCTCCCAGCACCCTCTCACCCTCTATTCATGCCTGCAGTCTTTCCTTTATAATCTGCATTGCCAGCCTGTAGACCGCTGATGTCACTGTTATAGGACGGTAGGTGTTTATGTCAGTTTTGTCCCTCTTTCCTTTATAGATAATGCTCATCCTGCTAAGTTTCCATTCTTTGGGGACTTCATTATCGATTATTGTTTTGCTCGCTGCCTCTCTCAAAGTCTGCTAAGACATGGGACCCAATGTTTTATTCAGCATAATTGGGATGCCATCCAGGCCTGTTGATGTACCACTAGGAACCCTCTTCTCAGCTTTTTCCCACTCGTGTTGTTAAAATGGAGCCACTGTGCCACTTGATTCATCCTTGTCTATTAAGGTGCATAGGGCACCTTTTTGTTGAAATTTTTCTGTCAACCTTGTTCTTATATATTCAATAGCTTCGTCCCCTTCTAGCCTAACACCTTGAGCTGTAGGTATAAACTTCTGCTCTAGGCTTGTCTCATTTCTTAGGGAGTTTAGATCATTCCAAAATTTTGCAGAGTCCTTTCTATCCTTTTTATGTACTTCTGCCAGCCATTGAGCCCCCTTTCTTCTAATTTTTTCATTGATTAGAAGGGATGCTTCCCTTTTACAGCTTAGAAAGATGTCCCATTTTCTTTCAAGATCATTTGTTGGTTCACCACGCTGCTTAGCGTCTGTGTTCCCTAGAGGCTTCCTGTCGTTTTGCTATGGCTCTCGTAACTTCATCCCACCAACTCTTGGGTTTGTGTCTCCTTTATTGGGGTGACTTGTCATGCACCTTAGCAAGCTCTAGTTCAAACAGTCTAATTATAGTCGTGGACGTCCACACTGTTTTAATATTCTCAGCGATTACTTTCTCAATTTGTTTATTAGCAATGCATCAGCAGTGCCAGTTCACCAGTAGAGGCACCGCTTAGTGTCAGTTGAATGTTGAGGTGCAAGCAGAGAACATTTGTCGTCTGCTGCTCGGCTATGTAAGTCGTCTTATGTATTGTGCACCCACGGATTCGCAGCTCCGGATTTCTCAGCATGGAGGAATTGCACATTGCGATGGAAATGGCTAAATCCGACAACGAATAGGAAGAACTGGACACAGTGTTGTGTTAAAGAGATGCTCAACTGGTGCGCAGCGATTATAACCGCACACCTAGGTACTACGAGGAAGTTGTGGTCCGTTATTTTGACTACGAGTTCAAGTGCCTTTTTGGCAATGTTGCTGAAATTGTTTTTATATTTATCAATAAGGAAACTTGTCTTTCTCACGCTCCACAGCACTTTGTCAGGATCGTTGCGACGTGCTGGACTTTGATAAGCGCTCTGATGTAGCAAGGCAGCTGCTGCAGTGGCTGCGTGGTCTTGCGACGTTGTAGGCGTAGCACGCTCATTTTTCGAGTCAGTGATGGGAAGTTGGCCCGACGCGCATACAACCCGCAGTGTTCTTCATCTGAAAAAAAAAAAAGAAAGAAAAACAATGGATGACGAAGAAATGTCGCCGTCTTGCATCTGAGTGGACTTCTCAAGAATGCAATCCCACTGCACAATTACCTGCAGTAGTGTAGAGTGCGGCGTCGCCTTCTAGGAGTATCACGCCAAGATCGTCCACAATCGAAAAAATTTCCGTCATGATGTGAGTGCAGTAATGACAGTTTAAGTTATAGACAGTTTGTGGCAGCTTCAAAGAAGTTTGCACAGCTATACAATTGAAGTTGTGAGGCCCCTAAGAACTTGAGTATTCTGGCTTTCTCAGTAGGGAACTGGGACAACACTGAAGTATTTGCAATGTCCATTTGTTCTGGTAACCAAACCCACAATGCTAAAAGCATCAAGTACAAAGTACTGATGCTAAAAGTATCACTGATACTAAAAACATAAAGTACAAAGCAATGCACAATATGAAAAAAAAAAATTACACCATCTCCCAATAAAGAGAACCATCAACATGCGAAACAGTGCATCAGTCTATTTTGCCTGTTTGGTTCCACACTTGCTGCAATGGCAACAGATGGCGCTCATGCACCCACATTTAAATGCAAAAGTATACCCTATAAAGTGCACGGGGGGATGACCACCATCATAGCTCAATGATGGAGCACTGGACCCGTTATTCGAAAGTTGCTGGTTCGGTCCTTGCCGGTGGCAAGTTCTCTTTTTGTCCACTTATTTTTCTTTACATTTAAATTATAATTCCTTCTTACGTTTCCTATACTTTTCTTTGCATTATTGTCTGTTAGTTCTCATTAATATTGTCGTTGGAAAAAACAGAGAATTTCAATAGACACTTTTCTTCTTAACACTCATTATTACAATACACAGGCTGTCTCTAGTCATTCAATACTTTTTTAATTTTTTCTAGGTCCATCAGCAGAAGATATACAGATGCATTACCAGAAACTGGCTCTCAAGTTTCACCCGACCAAGCGGGGAACCAACTTGCAGTCTATTTTGGTGTGCCTATTTTTAAATTCACATTCTCATCTGCATAAGTCACTGCTTGTAGTCACTTTGCATCTCATATGCAACATTTGCAACATGTGTCATGCTGCTAATATCAAGGATGCAAGTTCAATTCTGGGTCACGACAGCCACGTCTCGACGGGTGTGTTATTTAACAATATTCATGTGCTCAAATGGAAGTGCGCATGAAAGAACAAATGAACGGAGGATTGCCACCTGTCTGATTCTAGACTGGCAATTCTTGGGCCGATTGCTGCTCCGCACCCGCCGCCATTGACCTTTTTTTTTCTTCCTCATATCCCATTCATTTATTTTCTGGGACAATTCATATGCACCGATTGAACAACTACGATGGTAAATAGTTATCGTCAACCACCAAAACACTTAGGCCTTTAGACAACCACTATTTAGGAGCCCTTAAATTGTAGCAATCATTGAAATGGAGCATATTATAGCGCGGGTATGATACGTGAGTATCCAATATTTTTGGGGCATATGAATTTTTTACATTTTAACATTGATTTGTATCTGTGATGCCTCTGGCTTTGTTTTTAATGCATCAGGCCTGCTGGACTCATACACATACGCAAGGAAGAGCATTTTTTCAACGAAGTAATGTGGTTCCTTTAAAGCACACCACATTCAGAGTAATAAGCAGTGCATCATTCCAAGCATCGGTAATTTTATGACAGCAGTGAGACTAGTTTGTCAGCCAAGCGCGCTGTTTTTGTTTGTACATCAGACTTATTCTGCCCAACAAAAGTAATGTTACATTATTACATTAAAAGGCACTGCATGCTGAAGACTTGACATAGCATCTATTGTCAACATTTCTCCTGGCCTTTCACCAAAACTTTCTCTATCTTAAGCTTTGTGTTACCCCCGTGCCCCCCTTGACCTTCATTGAAGGGCTGAATTTTTTTGTCTAAAAAAGGTGGCACCTAACATAAGATGAAAATTAATGTGGAGTTTCCTACTGCAGCGTCTCTCGTAATCATATCATAGTTTTGTCGCTTTGAAATCGGAAATTATTATTATGTAGATGAAATTGTCTCCAATGTAATTGCTGTCGATCTGTTTTTTGATTGTGCAGTTGCAAGAGTAAGATGTTTACACTCTTCAATACAGTGTTAATTGCTGTGTATGTTTTCTGATTGCATGATCGCAAGAGTAAAATGCTTACACTTTTCAATAAAACTTGCTGTTGGGCGAGTTGGTTCATGCTTGGAAGGTATAAATATGGTTGTGCCAAAGAAAATAGAGACTCAAGAGATATTGACATGCGCAAACTTCCAACTAATTTCATTTTCCTGGGTAGTAAAAAAATTGGCCTATTCCTCACATGTTAGGTATCCCAATCATCGCATTATCACACTCTGTAGATTACAGAACGCCACGCAAAAACTTCATTTCATCATCCAATAAAGAAACGAAGGTCTGGCTAACACAGGCATCATTTCTTGTCTCAATATAAAAGGCTTCCATCTCTTCCCTGGCCGTGCTATCATGGCTTTTGCCCAAAATTTCTTTTTAATCTACCGAGTGGGATAATTGGGGTACATACTACGTGAAGGAGAGGCGTATTTTTCTACTACGAAGAAAAGAAACTTGCTTGTAAGTTTGCAATCATCTGTGTCTCTCCTGTCCTTGTTTTATTTGTGGGCAACCATAGTTATACTTTCCACGTTTACACTTTTTTCTTCTGCATTGTTTCATTTCACATTTAAGGTTCAAGATGTGTTCCTTTCCTTGCAGAGATTTGAGAGTTTATGCAGGTCATATTTAATACTCACTGAAGGACGAGAATCGATGACCGAATTATTGTCACAAGTGAGTATTGCCACACTTCTTTCTTTCCCACATTGGTCATTTTGTTGAGAATCGATGACCGAATTATTGTCACAAGTGAGTATTGCCACACTTCTTTCTTTCCCACATTGGTCATTTTGTTAACTTATAAAGAACTTTAATTGTATTGCTACTACTCTAACAGTACTGGCCCACTTTGTAATCCTTTTTTTTATTTAGTAGCCACCACTTCCTCTGAAAGCTTTGCCTTTTTTCTCCCGTTTTGTCTAGGTATTTAAGAGAAATTTCCTAGAGAGCAGTGTAAAATAGTTACCATACATTCGTGTTCTTTTGTTCTCTTTATTTATGTAGGATGAAATGTTGGATGTGTTTGTCAAGGCATTTGAGCTGGAAGGTGGGTTGTACTCAGTTTAATGTGTAGAACAGGATTGGCCAAGGGTGCTGGTTCAGAGCATATAATGCTAGGTGCTTTTTCAGGTTTGCGCAAAGAACTCGCTGCTGAGGATGCATCTACTCAGTGGGATGAAAAGCCAAGATCAAGCGAAAGCGTAAGACTACGAAAATCCTCAAGAAAAAGCACTGCTTCTACTGCTTCGGTTGAAACTACCACATCTAATGGAGCCACCACCTCTGTTGGAACTTCTATGGGGGGAGATTGTGCTCGTGCTAGAGCTGCCACTCCTATGGGGGCTACAGCCTCTACTGATGCTACCACTTCTACGGGTGCTACAGCTTCTACTAGATCTACTGCTTCTGCTGGAACTACTGCTTGTAATGGAACTACTTCTGCTGCAGCAACATCTTCTACAAAAGAAAAACCAGTCATTCCAGAAAAAGCAAAACAGAATGTAGAAGCTATTGCTCCTATCTCCATTGAAGAAAAACTACAAGAGAAAAAGAAGAAAAAAAATGCATCCAAAAAAAGCAGAAAGGTAAGGGAGGTGCATCTGTCAACCTTATTCTAGTTAGGTGTTCAAAAGGGGGACAGTGCTGAGAATAGTAGTGTAAGCATACGACTGTGTTGTGCATAGGAAACGGAGCATTGTCGTTGGTTTAAACTTCGTCAATGTATTACACTTCTTTCCGCAGCATCTTTGACATACAGTTAAACCTGCTTATAAAGAACCTCCATATTATGAATTCCTTGATTTAACAAAGTTTTCTATTTTCCGTCGTTGCTCCATAGAAGCACATGTATTTGCGACCTCTATGTAACAATGTAACAGTGGGAGACAATGTTGATATAATGAAGTTTCCCCACAGACAATTTAGGAATTTTGTCCTTCTTCGATTTTGCCATTCTAGTATGAGTGTATCTTTCGTGGGTGCCCCGCTGCCTACAAAGTGTGAAGCGGCAGTGGCGCGCTCGTGGCCCCAGCGACAACCAGGCAAAAGCGAGCGGGCAGGCAGGCCTGCGTCCCACGAGCCAGTGTTGCCGCTGGGGGCGCATGCACGAATGTGACCCCGCCCTCACACCAAAAACAAAAGAAGAGAAGTACTTTTGCGTTGGCAGTGCCACACTTTTAGTTAGTGTCACATATGTGGGGCCGCGCTGCATATAGAGGGCCTTTTACCGAATGTATCCGTGTCATTCGCTCTTAGTTTTCGACGCCATGCTTACGCGGATAGCTTCACTGCACTCGCACAATGAGGCCTCCTGTAACTTTTGGCTTTACTTTTCTTTCTTTATTTATTTTTCAAGCAAACAACGGTGACGTCACTACCAAGGAGGGGATGTCAGACTAGCTGCTGGTGGAAACTCTCAGAGACAATGGTGACGGCACATGATCGGAGGTTGCCTCGTGATGCCCTTTCGTCTTTTGCCGTGAGTTTGCAGGCTAGTAGCCTTCGCGATTAGCCGATTAGCTCTTGCAACAACAGGACAGTAAGTTAATGCAATGCAGTAAATGGGATAGCGAAAAACTTCAATGTTATACGAAGTAAAGCTGGCCCTCAACTCTTTTGGATCTTATATTGCGAAACTCCTTCAAAACACTGGTGTAAGCATATGTGGCTGCTCCAAGGAGAAACAGTCTCTTCGCATTGAAAGCGCACTGATATACTTGCCGAGATAGCATGAACACCTGCGATCGTGGCTGCTCTTAAAATAGTTTAGTGTTGCTACTTGAGGAACGGCTTTATTGAAAGGCGAAATTGTTGAATTAGTTCAGCCTGCCGGTAGTGTGAAGGATGCTGGTCAGTAGCTTGCCAAGACTGTTTCGACCCAGTAAACCACTCCTGCCTGAACATGGTAGCCAGTCAATGATAGGAGTGACGTCCACTCCTCAAGTGTCTATATCGTAATAATAATGCAGCTTTTACCGCTAAATGGGTGTTTTGGTCAACGTTTTGTTTAATTTGTGCATTTATTTTCCGAAATTTCGTACCAAGCCTGTATGCAATGAAATCCTCTTTATAACGATGTTTTCCGATAATTTATCAATTTCTTTATATTCAGGTTTTTGTCCATGTTTGGATTGAGTCTTTCTAATTTGCGTGTTGAGGCAAAGTTCATTGACTATGAAAAATTGTATGACTTGTGAGACATTAGTTATCTTTGAGAAAACGATAATAGAGATTTTTCACGCTTTGTTTGCTATAGTATATTTTTTCCCGTTTGTGTTGCATTTATTCATTCACTTAGGTAGGGATGACACATTAAATCATAAATTTCATGTTACCAGGTAAAGGCATTTTTTGTTACATGCCAGCAAGTTAGATTTATATTGTTCTCTGAGCTCCTCAGAAATTTTTTCAATTGATCAGAGCATGTTTGGGCACAGATTGTTCCAGTTGTCGGCTGTGTTTAACCCTTTCAGGGTGAAGTTTTTTTGCCAAGTGCGACGCACCAGGGTCAGTTTTTTTTTTGCTGATCTAAATTTTTGGGAAAATTTGTTTCAGAAAGCAATTATCATAATTCTTTTAGGTTCACCATAACGTGACGACAAGACAAATAATAAACAACTATATTACAGCTAAAAAATTCTGCTTTACAATATACGTCTGTGTAATTCTCAAATTTACAAAAATAAGTGCTTGAAATGGTGTCCGGTGGAAGATGGAGGGAGAATTGTTACTTGTGAAATGGTCAGCATTGTCCTACTAAGCATGCTTTTGAGATATCGCTTACTCATCAACATCCAAGTCTTAACTTGCAAGTAACTGCATGTATGACCGGCTGACATTTACTGATTTATATCCTGACACGGCAGTCATGCGGGGAAAGAATCGCTGAAAGGCTCACTTGAGACCGCCGTATACTTCCATAATGCAAGCAAACTGCATGGGTGAGTGCATTGAAGAAAGCTATGTGGTTGTGAATGCGTCTGGAAAGCAAAAGCGATTTTGAAACCTACAATAATGAGGCTTGTGTTAACATTCGAACGAATATTTCATTGGAAATTTCGAAGTATTGGAAATGGCCTAATAAGCATACATAAACCTGATGTAGTATCTGTAAAGGTGGTTTCACTGCAGCAGTGCAGTGCTGTTTTGTGAGCGTAGCTATCTAGGAGAAATCCGCACTGCGACGAAGCCCCACGGCATATTTTAATGAACATGTTACTCTCACTTTGATTCATCAGTTTTTATATTTAAAAAAAGCTCGTTATACCAGCTGAAATACTCCAAGTATAGTAAATTTGGAAACGTAACATATTTTACCGATTATCATTTGCATTCACTCGAAAGTCGAAGTCCTACTACTATTCGCAGTAGCTTTCACTTCCTATAAACAGCAACAACAACAACAACAAAACAAGCGCGCTTATAGTTTCAAGTCAAATATATATAATATTGTGCAGGTTAGTTGGGTTGGGACAGATATGGCCATTTTTAATTATAATGTAATAAATATAATTTATATTCAATTTGAAATTATTGACCAAATTACTGTTCACTTCAAACCTAAATGTACTATTTGGACAAGCCTAATAATAATCATTCAGGGGTGCAACAGCTGCCCCAATGGTGACAAATTGATAGAATTCCCGATTTTAGCGTCGAGCTGTGCCAAGGTCATGAAATTTGCCGAAATTGCACCACCCTGTGCCAAAATGCCCGACCAGCCTCAATATTTTCTCATATGTGCTAACTTCAGTGAGAAGTAGAGCACACATTGGCCACCTGTGGCTTGTATCATCAATCAATCAATCAATCCAGGGATCCAGACTCGCAGACCCTAAACCACGCTTAGGCCAGGAAATTTGGGAAATGTGATCGCTAAGACAAAGTCAGAACGCTGTGCCATGCGCCCAGCGCTCAGCTTACCGCAACGGCTATCTCTCGGCGGGATGACACAACTTTTAGATAATGCGTTGCCGTATCCAGCAATACTTTGTGGAAAATGAGTTTCATAGTCGGAAAACCCTGCTTTAGCATGTTAGGAACTAAAGCTCGAAATGTATGCCGCTTTACTGTGCACTAACAAACTCGGCATGTTACGAACGACAGCGTTGCCGTCGACTACCTAGTTGCCATAGCAGCGGCTTATGCGATGAAGATCGGGTGCCGTCACTTTGCCAACGGGCGTGTGCTGTCGCTACTTTATTTAGTCAAACGTGCCTTGCAAGCGAGTCAAGAAGTTTCGCCCTAAATTTAACCCCATTGTGAAAAAAAAAGGGTGGGGGGAGACGGGAGTGTTGCAATTCGAAAATTTCATGGCCTTGTTTTAACCCATGCAGAATGCCATTCAAGGTATCTAACTGCAGTGCACTGGTGTCATGTGGAATAGCATTTTAAGATTTGGAAGGTGCTGTTAGCATTAATCCCGGGACATAACACAGTTTGTTCAATTACTCGTGCTTGTCTAAACCACACCATTGGGAGGAAAAATATGATTTCTGAAATCTAAAATCATTACTGGCAATTATTTGAAGCACTGTATGATATTTCTGTAGCCCTACTAATCAAACTGAGCTGAGAATCACATTTTTTTTTTTGCCACCTTTGCTCGTTAGTTTTACGAATCTCGCAAATCTCAGTCGTCAGCTTGACAAATCCAAATTTCAATATTCAGACTCTGTGAAAGGATTTGACAGGCGTGGCAAATGCCATTGTGCACTTCATCATTGTTAGCTGAGTGGGTTGGTCAAAGATACTTCTATTGAAATAGCAGTGGTCATATTTACTGCACATGATTTAGGCGATGTTGAATGGTTTGTACATATTTTTGGCTCTGTACATACTTCCTTTTCATACTGTACCAAATCTGGTCCTTCGTGATGAAAAAATAATGTTCTTTCCGTGTAACCTTCTCGAAATTCGGGTTTTAGAGCTGCAAGAGTAACGTTTTTCTGCTAAAAAAATTGATTGCTCCAAATTTTATTTCGGCTGTTGCATCCCTGGTCATTTGTCCAGTTGCCAACGACATGAAAGTGGTTTTTTCAAGGGGCAAAAAAAAAAAAAAAATGCGCCATTCGTCAGCGTATATCATGACCTTTAGAGCTTTCCTTTCTTCCTTTTTATTTATTTATTTATTTATTTATTTATATTTTTCAAATGCAAGGTTTCCTTTCAGCGTCGTCACAAGCATGTTGGGGCACATGATGGCATCCCGTTGCAGCTGTGGTGATGCAGCTCATGGTGTAATGGGCTGGTGGTCATGGACTTTAGGTTTATGGCATCAATTGTAGAGAGAAGGGAGTGGTTTCTGGCTGATTTTAAGAATTAATTGTGAATTTCAGGCCATATGCTGTCTTATGGGAGAACCTCAGTGGTACATTTGTCACGGGACTGAAAAAAAAAAGAGAGATAGAGAGAGAAAAATGTAAGAGCAGGGAAATGTAAAAACTGAGAAAAAACAAGATTAAAATGAAAAATTGGAGTAGGGGCAGGAAGCTCACAATTTTATTTTGAACAATTCACTTGAATAAATCATGCAGCACTGATGATGCATTTAATCATGCCCTCTTAGTAGAAGGCATCTCTCAAGCACTTGCAGTACCATAGGGTTTTTCGGCAACCACACACATGCGGCTATAAAATAGTCATAAAATGCATGATGACCACGAAAAGCATGTCCTACAGTAACGATAGGGAAAAGTCCACCCTGATAGCTATCTCATGCAAACAGGATTAGTCTAGGCAACAAAAGCAAGATTTGAAGTATATGTCCTTTTGTTGAATGCATAAAAACCAATTCTAGCACCCCAAAACGTCGTAGACAACATGTTTAACCATGTTTAGATGAAAAATGCAAATTTTTGTGGTAATGTTTGTTATGTTGGGACGTTGAAATGCATTATAGACCTTGACGTCAGCACTTTTAGCGGCCAAACTGATCATCAAAGCACCAAGTAAACCAAGCCAAGCTTCGGGAAAAGCCGATGTGACCCGCTGGGCCTTCTCTGAGGGCTGGATCATGACGTGCAATGAAGGAATTTCTGAACAATTTAAGACTTAACAGCAGGGTTTCCAATGCATTGGATCATATACTCTGCTACGGATGGTTGAAATTAATGTCAACAGCCAAGAAAACTTAGCTCCCTGGAAGTTACGTAGCGGCGGGGTTAGGCTGTGTAGTGTTTGGCTGATGTGTTTTCTGAAGCCTCGACTACGGATTTCGAGCTTTTTCTGGCCATGCTGAAGAATTGTTGCAAAGCCCCTTTGAAGTATGGATTAAGGTGGCCCTTTCTTGCTTATTACGTCCAATCTGCTTGTCAGAGTTAATTGATATGCTTTGCTGAAGCTATTTCAGAATTCTTTATCGATATCAGTACAAGAAGTTTACTTGTGTTTAGTATACATAAGGAAGTCCCAAGTCGAAGACTGTATCGGGACCTCCTGTTAGGGCAGATTGTGGTTAAACATAATGTTTGTAGCGATATAAGCACTAATCAAAATAATAGAACACGTTTGCACCAGAACAGTAAAGAAATATACAAAATGAAAACAATATATACATAATGAAAAAAATGAAGGGATGAATAATGCAATGCAGTAGAACTGAAAAGAAAAATGCAATAAGATATAATGCATACAATGTAGAAATAGAAACAAAATGAAGCTATAGAAGGAAGAGTAATACTAAGCAGGTATTAAGTGTGATTTGAGTTCTCTTTTAGAGTGATCTAAGTGTCATGCCATTTTTTTTTATATAGAAGGCAGTAGCGCATTCCATGAATATATCAATGAAAATTCAGCAGTCATTTTATCTTAATCAGTGCTTAGCTTAGGCAAAAGAATGTTATTGTATGACTAAATCTAGTAATATTGTGGGCAATCAGGTCAGTAGATGAGAAGCAGATTGGAGGTAGTGCCTTGGTTATGTATTTATAAAATATGATACCTAAGTTGTAATTGAGAAGCTCTGTGATTGTTAAGAAGTTATCATGAAGTAAGCATTTACCATTAGAAAAATGTGAACTGTTAGTAATGATTCTGATTGATCGGGTTCTGTAATACTTGAAGGGAAGCCAAATAAGTGTTATAAGTATTACTATGAGTAAAACCTTTAACAGTGTTGTTAGAACACCTATAGCACTGTTATAAGTGTAATATGTGTTATGCCAGCACATTAAGTCATAATTATATGACAATGAATGAATGAGTAGTAGAGTGACAGTAATGTAGTACATGTGAAGTATGAATGAGTTTTAGTTAGAGCGCAGATACTGTATGTTAGTTTCTTTCTGATGTAAGCAGTGTGATCTATGTATTTCAAGTTATAGTCAAGAGAAATTCCAAGAAAATATGAGCAGGGACTGGGAGAATTAGAGTGCAAGCGATAAGTTAATACAACAAATGTAGTCTTGGTTGTCTTAATAGTTAACAAGTTGGAACTGTACCATTTTGAAACATTTTTCAAGTCTGTGCTTAGCTTGTGAACGCGAAGTGAAATGCTTTTGTCAGATGTAAATATGGTAGTGTCATCAGCATTGAGAATGTAATTAGTGGAGGATAGACAGTTGGGAAGATCATTAATACAAATAAAAAATAGACGCGGTCCCAAAACGGGTCCGTGAGGGACACCAATGTTAGTAGTATAACGTGACACCAGCAGGCAGAAAACAACCATATGAAACTCGCCGTCATGGCTGCGAGCAGTGTTGGACACTCTCGCGTTTAAATGCACGTGTATACCCCATGAAGTGGACGGGGAGATGACCACTAATGTAGCTCAGTTGGTAGAACAACGGACACGTTATTTGAAGGTCGCTGGGTTGGTCCCTGCCAGTGGCAGGTTACCTCTTTGTCCACATTACTTTACATTTACTTCGTAATTATTGACATTTCTTTTACCTTTTCTGGCTTCATTGTCCCTTAGTTTTTATTATTATTGTGCCTAACCTAGAGATGTTTTTATTGCACGTAGATTTGTCATGTCAGCTCGTCTAGTAGATGCAGACGGCTCTTAGATAGGTAATATGTCGTGCTCAGTTTTAAAGCAAATATATTGTTGCTCGCTCTTCTTGCGGAGAGAAAGCATTAACTGCTTGCATGTCGCCCTTGCCCAGGCACACAAAAAAATGAGAATAATTTTTGCATAATTATGTAAAGGGTATGTTTTAGGGCAGTGATTCTTAGCTACAAATGTTTCGGGGACGTCTTGTTGACTGGTGGAACGCATGGGGGACCCCGTTCCTGTAAGAGGAAAGGGGAGGGCCCCTCATTGATTAACACAAGATTCAGCATAAACCAGGTGTCTTTTATTTCTCTCTGGCAAAGAGTTGTGAGAGTAAAGTGCTATACCAATAAGATCTGAACAGTTTTTCAATAAGTTGTGCAGCCTGCAAGCACATTCAATCAGTTTCTAGCTAAGCTTGGTCTGCAACAATGCAAGTCTAAGAAAGAGTACTCGCATGCACGTGTTCTAGAAAACTGCCACAAAGGCTTTACAGCCATTTCATGGATTAGCTCCACCACAAAAGGTAATGTTACATAGTAATGCATACTGACAAACAAAAGGTGCTGGTGTTGCGTGACACGATGCACCTCTAGACACCTAGCTTGGAAAAAACATAAAAAAAACAACAAAGAAGCACAGTTAAAATACGAGCGCTGAACTTGCGAATGAAGTCTTTATTACATCGACTGCTTTTTATAGATTGCACCAAACTGCAAACATAATTCCTATTAATCGACCAAATAAAGCATCAAGTAGGCATACTGCTTGATCACTGGAATTTGATTAGGTGTACATGAATTGCATAACGCACACGCAATTTGCGCTCGCATTGTGCGCAGTTTAGTGCGATTTAAAAAGAACGGTTGGTATACTAAACACTTCATTTGTAAGTTCAGCACTTGTATGTGTACTGCGTTTTTGTGTCCTCGTCTTTTTCGCTCAGTTTTTCCTAGCTAACAATGTACCAACCCGCTCAAATCCAAGTCCTGCGACTTAAAACAATGCATTTTGGCCCCCCTTTTTAGAAAATGCCTTTCAAAGAACCCCCCTCCACCCCCACCCCCCAAAATGGCTTCACGGACCCCCCCCCCCCCATCTGAGAATCACTGCTGTAGGGTCTGAAGTTTTTGTTTGAGCTGCCTCTTTTGTATAAAATTTCACTTGTAGTTCAGTATTTTCGGTGATTGCAGGGTATGTTTGCAAAGTTGGCAGAATTCTTTTTTTATAAATAATTTATTCACTAGCAGTTTACAATCTCTTCAGTGCTTTCAAAGTGGTTTTATGCATCATAGACAATGCCTGAAGATATTATTGATAGCATCCTGGAACTCAATAATGGGAACTTCTTTCAGTAAGGTCTTGGTAGGTGCTTTAACAGTTTTTTCACTGTTATTTTGATCACTTGGAACAGAAAGAAGTCTGGTAGTGCTAGATTGAGGATGTACGGGGGCCAGGGCAACTTTCCCACACCTATTTTCCAGCAACTCGGAGACAGTGAGCGCACTGTGACTCCTCCTTCTTCTCACTCGTCAGGACTTTTACCACTATACTTTCCTCATTTGAAGATGGGAATTCAAAGCACGATGAATAATTGTTTCGGGTATTCCACACTTCCCTGTGGTCATCTGTACACTTAATCACCGGTTTTCGTCCAAAACTTGATGCCCTCTTTGAATTGAGTCGTCCATTTGGGATATACATGGGCGTGGTACGGGGTCATATTTGTTGACCGACTCCCGACCTTCCAAGAACCACTGGCAACTTGATACTATGGCTTTGTTTCATTGTGTCATCACCTAGGCTGTTTAAAGCATTTCCAGCATGTCTGCTACATTTTTACCCAGTTTCACACAAAACTTTATTGTATATCATTGATTCAGAAGTTCTTATTTTTGTTTCTCAACGATGTCGCGGTAGTATACATCTGCTTAAAGTGTGACTTACCTCAGCTGGAAACCGAAACTGGACTAGTTTTGAAGCCTTAGCCTCCATAAGCTTATCCACCAAAACCACTGCCATACCAGGCAGCATTGCCAAATACCAAATAAATTCCAAAAATTTTAGGACAGACCCTGTATGTGTAGCATTTCCTCACTGATATCATCATTGTCTTATCAATAACGCAAGGTTTTGTGTTCCCTTCAATACATATCTAGTTTTGCTGAATGTCTCTGTGGACCTTCTGCAACTACTCACTTGTTAAAGAAAACTGTCAAGACTGACAAGTCAGTGGAACCGATAGCGAAGCTTCCATAGAAGTCCTTATATTCAGTAAATGGTAGCTCGAGATGTTCATGGGGCTTAGCACCATGTTTGCGACGAAGGAACAGTTTAGGCTAAACAAAAAATAAATCGGATTGGACGAAATATTTGGTAAACAGGTGATGTCATTTTGTTAGCACTAGCTGCAACTTTGATCTCTAAATTCGATTTCGTAGGCTTCTGATCGCTAAATACTTCGCACTAAGGTGAGCTGGCGAGTCCGTCACTAGTGCGCTTGAAGTCAATGCCAGCTAAACTAATATAATCACTTGCGATTATAGGGAGGTGTACTACCATTTAATTCAGCTTGGTTTTAGTCGGATACTTGTTTTGGAACTTTCATTCGGCGTTCGTGTCATCTTCACAGATGCATTAAAGTAAGCAGCAGCGCGCCTCTTATATTCGCAGCCTTGCTTATTTACTTGGAACATATGCAGGTTCTTAAGTGGTCGCATGGCTTGTGTTCAGTTCTGACAAGAAGTGATGCCTAGTCATGGCAAGATAATGAAATATCAGTTTCAATAAATGGTCTCAATAACTGAATGTTGTTATACTGCACACAATGGGCACTAAGTGTGCACAATAAGGAAGAACCTAAATATTATTGCTGCAACTCTAACAGTACTGGCCCCCTTTTTAATCTTTTTTTTTAGTAGCCACCACTTTCGGTGAAAGCTTTGCCTTTTTTCTACCATTTTGTCTAGGTACCTAAGAGAAATTCTTAGAGAGCAGTGTAAAATATTCACCACATATTTGTGTTCTTTTTTTCTCATTATTTATGTAGGGTGGACCATTGGGTGCGTTTCTTGAGGAATTGGTGCGTGAAGGTGGGTTGTACTCAGTTTATTGTGTAGATTAGGGCCGGCCAAGGGTGTTAGTTCAGTGCATGTAGTGCTTAATTGCTTTTTCAGGTATACTATATATCAGCGAAGAACTCACAGCTGAGGATGCATCTACTGAGTGGGATGAGAAGCCAAGCACAAGCAAAGGCATAAGCATACAAACATCCTCAAGCAAAAGCACTGCTTCTACTGCTTCGGTTGAAACTACCACATCTAATGGAGCCACCACCTCTGTTGGAACTTCTATATGGGGAGATTGTGCTGCTTGTGCTAGAGCTGCCACTTTTATGGGGGCTACAACCTCTACTGATGCTACCACTTCTATGGGTGCTACAGCTTCTACTAGATCTGCTTCTGCTGGAACTACTGCTTGTAATGGAACTACTTCTGCTGCAGCAACATCTTCTACAAAAGAAAAACCAGTCATTCCAGAAAAAGCAAAGCAGGATGTAAAAGCTATTGCTCCTGTTTCCATTGAAGAAAAGTCACAAGAGAAGAAGAAGAAGAAAAAAAAGGCATCCAAAAAAAGCAGAAAGGTAAGGGAGGTGCATCTGTCAACCTTGTTCTAGTTAAGTGTTCAAAAGGGGGACAGTGCTGAGAATAGTAGTGTAAGCATTCGACTGTGTTGGGCATACGAAACGGAGCATTGTCGTTGGTTTAAACTTCGCCAATGCATTTCACTGCTTTCTGCAGCATCTTTCACATACAGTTAAACCTGCTTATAACGAACCTCCATATTATGAATTCTTTGATATAACAAAGTTTTCTACCGTGTACTCAGATTTGGGTGCACGTTAAAGAACCCCAGGTGGTCTAAATTTCCGGAGCCCTCCACTACGGCGTCTCTCATAATCATATAGTGGTTTTGGGACGTTAAACCCCACATATCAATCAACAAAGTTTTCTATTTTCCGTCGTTGCTTCATAGTAGCACATGTATTTGCAACCTCTGTGTAACAATGTAACAGTAGAAAACAATGTGATATAACGAAATTTCCCCCCAGACAATCTAGGAATTTCGTCCTTGGATATTGCCATTCTGGTATGATTATGCATCTTTCGCAGGCGCCCCGCTGCCTACAAAGTGTGAAGCGGCAGTGGCGCGCTCGTGGCCCCAGCGACAACCAGGCGAAAGCAATCGCTCGTTATTGGGTGCGGCTGAGCGCATGGCGGGCAGTCGGGCCTGCTCCCCACGAACCAGCTTTGCCGCCGTTCTTGCTGCTGGGGGCGCATGCATGAAAGTGCTCCCCGCCCCCCACACCAAAAACAAAAGAAAGAAAACTATTTTTGTGTTGGCAGTGCCACGCTTTTAGTTAGTGTCACATATGTGGGGCCACGCTGCGTATAGAGGGCCTTTTACTGAACGTATCCGTGTCATTCACTCTTCCTTTTCAACGCCGTGCTTACGTGCCTAGCTTAACTATGCACGCACAATGTAGCTTCCTACAACTTTCGGCTTTACTTTTCTTTATTTATTTTTTAAGTTCACATCGGTGACGTCACTACCGAGAAGGGGATGTCAGATTAGATGCTGGTGGAAACTCTCCGAGACAACGGTCAGGACACATCTTTGGAGATTGACTCGTCACGCTCATTCGTCTTGCGCCCTGAGTTTGCAGGCTAGTAGCCTTCGCGATTAGCCGATTAGCTCTTGCAACAACATGACAGTAAGTTAATGCAATGCAGCAAATGGGATAGCGAAAAATTTTAATGTTATACGAAGTAAGGCTGGCCCTCACCCCTTTTTGATCCTATATTGCAGAACTCCTACAAAACGCTGGTGTACGCATATGTGGCTGCTCCAACGAGAAACAGTCTCATCGCATTAAAAGCGCACTGATATACTTGCCGAGATAGCATGCACACCTGTGATCGTGGCTGCTTTTAAAATAATTTAGTGTTGCTACTTGAGGAACGACTTTAGATTGTTAAATTAGTTCTGCCTGCCGGTAGTGTGAAGGGTGCTGGTCAGTAGCTTGCCAAGACTGTTTCGATCCAGTTAACCACTCCTGCCTGAACACGGTAGCCATTCGATGATAGGAGTGACGTCCACGCCTCGAGTGTCTATATCGCAATAATAAGGCAGTATTTTACTGCTAAATAGTTGTTTTGGTCAATCTTTTGTTTAATTTGTGCATTTATTTTCTAAAATTTCGTACCAAGTCTGCATACAACGAAATCCTTTTCATAACGATGTTTTCTAGGAATTCATCAATTTATTTATATTCAGGTTTTTGTCCACGTTTGGATTGAGTTTTTCTAATGAGCATGTTGAGGCAAAGTTCATTGACTAGACAAAATAGTTGCCTTGTGAGACATTAGTAATCTTTGACAAAAAAATGATAGAGATCCTTTATACTTTGTTTGCTATAGCATATATTTTTTTTCTGTTTGTGTTGCATTTATTCAATTACTTAGGTAGGGATGACACATTAAATCATGAATTTCGTGTTACCAGGTAAAGGCATTTTTTGTTACAAGCCAGCAAGTTGGATTTATATTGTTCCCTGAGCTCCTCAGAAATTTTTTTTATTTGATCAGAGCATCTTTGGGCACAGATTGTTCCAGCTGTCGGCTGTGTTTATCCCTTTCAGGGTCAAGTTTTTTTGCCAAATGCGACACACCAGTTGCAGTTTTTTTTTTGCTTATGTAAATTCTTTGGGAAAATTTTTTTCAGAAAGCAATTGTCATTATTATTTTAGGTTTACCATAATGTGACGACAAGACAAATAAAAAAAAACTACATTACTGCTAAAAAATTCTGCTTTTCAGTATACGTCTGTGTAATTCACAAATTTACAAAAATAAGTGCTTGAAATGGTGTCCGGTGGAAATATGGAGGGAGAATTGTTACTTATGAAATGGTCAGCATTGTCCTACTAAGCATGCTTTTGAGATATCACGTACTCATCAACATCCAAGTCTTAACTCGCATGTAACTGCATGTATGACCGGCTGACATTTACTGATTTATATCCTGACACGGCAGTCATGCGGGGAAAGAATCGCTGAAAGGCTCACTTGAGACCGCCGTATACTTCCATAATGCAAGCAAACTGCATGGGTGAGTGCATTGAAGAAAGCTATGTAGTTGTGAATGCGCTTGGAAAGCAAAAGCGAGTTTGAAACCTACAATAATGAGGCTTGTGTAAACATTCGAACGGATATTACATTGGCAATTTCGAAGTATTGGAAGTGGCCTAATAAGCATACATAAACCTGATGTATCTGTAAAAGTGGTTTCACTGCAGCAGAGCAGTGCTGTTTTGTGAGCGCAGCTATCTAGGAGAAATCCACACTGCGACAAAGCCCCACGTCATGGTTTAATGAACATGTTTCTCTCACATTGATTCATCAGTTTTTATATTTAAAGAAAGCTCGTTATAACAGGTGAAATACTCCAAGCATAGTAAATTTGGAAACGTAACATATTTTACCGATTATCACTTGCATTCACTCGAAAGCCGAAGTCTTGCTACTGTTAGCAGTAGCTTCCACTTCCTTTAAACAGCAACAACAACAACAAAAAAGCACACTTATTGTTTCAAGTCAAAATATATATATATTGTGTAGGTTAGTTGGGTTGGGACAGATATGGTTATTTTTATTTATAATGTAATAAATATAATTTGTATTTAATTTGAAATTATTCGACCAAATGACTGTTCACTTCAAACCTAAATGTACTATTTGGACAAGCCTAATAATAATCATTCAGGGGTGCAACAGCTGCCCCAATGGTGACAAATTGATAGAATTTCCGATTTTTGCGTCGAGCTGCGCCAAGGTCATGAAATATACCGAAATTGCGCCACCTTGTGCCAAAATGCCCGACGAGCGTCAATATTTTCTCATATGTACTAATGTCAGTGAGAAGTAGAGCACACATTGGCCACCTGTGGCTTGTATCATCAATCAATAAATCCAGGGATCCAGAGTTGCAGACCCTAAACCACGCTTAGGCCTGGAAATTTGGGAAATGTGATCGCTAAGACAAAGTAAGAACGCTGCGCCATGCGCCCAGCGCTCTGCTTACCTCAACAGCTATCTCTCGGCGGGATGACACAACTTTTAGATAATGCGTTGCCGAATCCAGCAATACTTTGTGGAGAATGAGTTTCATAGTCGAGAAACCCTGCTTTGGCATGTTAGGAACTAAAGCTCGAAATGTATGCCGCTTTACTTTGCACTAACAAACTCGGCATGTTACGAACGACAGTGTTGCCGGCCACTACGTAGTTGCCATAGCACCGGCCTATGCGACGAATATCCGGTGCCGTCGCTTTGCCAACGGGCGTGTGCTGTCGCTACTTTATCTAGTTAAACGCGCCTTTCAAGCGAGTCAAGAAGTTTTGCCCTAAATTTAACCCCATTGTGAAAAAAAAGGGGGGGAGGGGAGACAGGAGTGTTGCAATTCGAAAATTTCATAACCTTGTTTTAACCTGTGCAGAATGCCATTCAAGGTATCTTAACTGCAGCGCACTGGTGTCTTGTGGAAAGGCGTTTTAAGATTTGAAAGGGGCTGTTAGCATTAATCGCGGGACATAAGACAGTTTTTTCAATTACCGTAATCACTCGAATCTAATTCGCACTTTTTTTCCGGTTAAGCGAGTTCATAAATCGCATGCGCGTTAGAATCGAGTACGAAAAAAAATGAATTCAGTCATTCCATTGCCATCGGCATTTTCAAAATGGCTGCCCCCTACGTGCGTCGCCATGGCGCGGCGGCCATTTCTGCCTATGGGTTTGCCATGTGCGGCACTTTGTACGTGTACTGAGGAGTTCGTCATCTTGTAGTGCATTAGCATCGACGGCATGGAAGGGCCGACTCCAAAAACTCGTGTGCACCAAGATGCCGCTTTTGAAAGAGGAGTCATCGCATGTGCAGAAACGGACGGAAATGGGGCCGCATCGCGGTCGTTCGGAGTTCCGAAAACGTGCGTGCGGGACTGGCGGAAACAAAAGCAGGAGATTGTGTAGGTGTCCTGTGAGATTGTCAATAGCAAACATTCACGCAAAGGCTTCAGTGGACCACAGCAGAGTCGGTTTCCACAAATTGAAGAGCTGCTCGACGAGTATGTGCTTGAGCAGTGAGTGGCCCGTGAAGACAGAACTGCTCCAAGTGCGGGCTATGCAGTTAGTCCTAGAAAAAGGTCTAATGCGGAGCTAGTTTAAAGCGAGCAGGTGCTGGCTAACTAACTTTATGAAGAGGAAAGGCTTTTCCCTCCGAAAGCGAACGGGCATATACGAAAAGTTTCTGGAAGAGTATGATGAAAAGCTTCACAGTTTTCAGAGGTTCGTTCTGAACTTGCGGCACAACAACGGCTACCTGCTTGGGCAAATCGGGAATGCCGATCAGACGCCTCTTTACTTCAACATGCCTGGCACCACAACCGTGAAGAAGGGGGCGAAGCAAGTTCGCGTGCTGACATCGATCCACGGTAAAACTACAGTGACGGCAATGCTCTGTTACACGTCAGATGAACATAAGCTTCCGCCGTACCTCATATTTTAATGGAAGACGCTCCCGAAAGGA